CAAAGTTCCAGATCCAAATGGCTGGGCTGGAAATCCTTGAACGTCTAGAACTTCTAGTAGCGATCATAAAAGATGGAATTGCCACTGGTAATTCTACAACGTGAAGGAAAAAATGCCAGTAAGAGAATGATAGGTTGATAAAAGCATCTTCACGCGCGTTGACAATTTCCACTCAGGGTGTCAACTGTTTCCAGACTTGGAAGACACCGTTCAATCATTCAGCACAAAGGAGGACTCTTGAAATAAAAAGTAATTGAAAAAACAATAGAAAAAAAAGGGTTTGAAGAAAAGTTTCGAAGTTAAAAAAAAGGGAATGGATATATAATTATTATTTATCATCTTATTCAAGAACTAGGACAAGGCAAGTGGGGCCTGTATTCTAAGCCTTGGTTTCCTTTATTCACTGTATTTCTGGTTATTAAGTATCATTTCCAAATATGACAATTTTGCTTTTTCTACCAGTTTGGCAGTAGTGGGATGGACTTTCCTCGGTTAATCGCAGCTGATGGCGTAGCTAGTCAACACAGTTGCGTGCCGATGCCTCGAACCCGTTTTGTCTCCTTTCCGATTATCTATATATGATTTTATCTTTGGTTACCATCAGGGTTTTCATTAATTTTTGAAGTAGGAGGGTTCTCGTGGTAGAGTAATTGGGCAGCCCTATATACCGAAGGGCCGAAGGCCCGAGCCTCTAGGGGGGTCTGGGGTCATGCTCCCTCGGAAAATTTTTGAAAATTAGACTCTCGGAAATGCATTTTCCAGCATTCTGAGGTGGAAATTTATAATTCTATTCCCTCATTTTGCAAACGAAAATTATGAATAATTTGCGGAGCTTTTACTTATACTAGCAATGTTGTAACTGTTTACAGCCTTAGAGAATTTACTAAATTGACAAGCACAAATTGACTTCATGAAAACCAATAATGTAACTAATTTTGTAACTTTTTGCAGCCTCAGGGAATTTACTAAATACATAATATAACAGTATGGATAATGAACCAACCTTACTGGCTTACCGGTATATTGCTTAGTTTATTAGATAGTGAGCCACACTGGCTTTTCTGATTTAAATTATAATAACTGAAACAAACATTATATAGATCGTAGAGTTTCATGAATGAACTCCTCCTGTACTGTTTTGCTGCTTTCATTCATGAAGAAAACTTAAAGTCAATCCTAAATACGGGCAACTAATGTATGAAGCTTAAAAGGACTACACTATATGTCATGGGAAAATTCAAAGTCAGAACCATAATCTGAGGTTTCATCTACTCATCTGCAATTGTACGTTGAACTGGCTGAATGACGCTGTCATCATTTGTCTGCACACCAGCATCCTGCATGGTTACCGTTACAACGTTCTCACTTATACCACTTGAATTGGCGACCAGTGGTGTGCTGACAAACTTTGGAGGACACTTTCGGCATGGTTTGGCAGCTAACCAAGCTCTAACAGAAGCATCAATCACTCCTTCAAATTCCTTACTTCCCACTTTAGGACCATTGATGAGAATGTGTAGCAGAGCGTTGAGCATGTCATTCTTCATTCTACTTTGAAGCCTTGTCTTCATCAGTTTTAAAGAACTGGCACCCCTTTCCGGCCATGCATTCGAGACTGGAAGAGAGATCACTGCCTCTGCCAACTTTGCAATAAGTGGAAGATTAAATGGGACCAGGTCCTTCATGAACATTAGCTTCTGGAGGCACCAATCAGTTGAAGTGACTGTAGGTTTGCTTCCACCAGAGAGCTTTCTAACTTCCTCAGGCAATTCGTTCTTCCATTTTGCCAAGTCGTACTTGAATACCTGCCACTCATCCATCAACTGCTTTTTGTGGCTTTCGTCATCAAAGAACTGCTCAGCCAGAAGTTTCACCGCTGCACTGCCATAATCCCTGAATCCTGGCTGGCCCCTTTCTGGAACTTGTGCGGGGTCAAATATACTAAAAGTAGACAGGAGGGGAAGGGCAGGAAATCTGCTACTTAAACTTTCTTTCAGTGAATTGACATATTTCACCAGGAAATTGGTGAGAAACAGCTTATCTCTATCAGACGCAGTAAGATCAGCTTGTTCCAATCTGCCTCCAGGTGAAAGATCTCTAAGGAACTCAGTGACTGGAACTCTCATCTGGGCAATTTTGTCAAGGTCATCGGTGCACTTCTGAATTGCTGGCTTTATATGGGAGAAGGAAACCTTTCCTTGTTGGAAAGCAGAGCTGAGCCTGTTGAGAACAGGAAGAACGTGATGCATGACTGTTACCACCCCAATGAATTTCACTTTGTGCATCTTTCCGAGAAGACCTGACGCCTGAGCATCTTTCTGGTCAAGTTGCTTTAGTGTAAGCATGAGTGGTACGTAATCCTTATGTACACCCTCTACAGCCTTGCCAAGAGAGAGCCACCTCGTGCGAGTAGCCTTAGCAAGTCTACAGACGCACTTATCTTTAGCCTCTTTTGAAGGCTCTTGCAGCTTTTTCACGTTAAGTTGGGTCTTCAGATATGCTGCAAGTCGTTTTGGGGAATTTTCAAAAAATTTCCAGATCTGAAAAAGCCATCTCTCAACTTCTTGCATGTATGCGATATCATCATTAGTATCACAGCAAGCAAGGGACAGTTTATGGCAGATGCAGTGAACGCTGACGAGGTGTTTGTTCAACTCTTTCAGCCTGGTGGCCACCCCACTGGTTTTTCCAGTCATCACGGATGCTCCATCCGTGCAAAGGCCATTGAGCTTTCCAACTGACAAGTCACAATGGTTTAACTCTGTTACAAGAGTCCTCGTTATGGTTTCTGCATTTGCAGACTCAGATTCAACAAGGAGATCATTTGCACTAAGAAACTTAATCTCTGTGCCACCAGAAGTGCTGTTCCAAAACTGCACGAACGTGATTAATTGCTCAGTAACAGAGATGTCTGTTACTTCATCAATTAGAAGGCCATAAGACCCTGCTTTCTTTATTTCGTTTATAATCATGTTCTTGACCACATTTCCACTTGTCAGGAACATTTCTCTCACTGCAGCGGGAGATTTGTGATTAAAATGCTGCATTTTGTCTAGCCCAACAGCACGAAACAGGTTTAGCAAAGAAAAGAACTTAACATTGGCAACTGCCTCCCTTGCTAACCAGTACAAGGCTGCAAAAGCATTGTACAATACATCGTTGCGAACTGCTTCCTTTTCTTTATACTGTTGATGAAACATTGACACCCTTTGATTCATTTCAGCTTCCGCAGCAGCTTGATGCATTTTGGCTGAAGAATGTTCTCTGATGGCCTCTTTCCTGTATCTTTTGCGGGGTGTACTGCTGAATACTGCAGCATTGTTCTGGGTGTTCAAAGTTTTATGTTTACAGCAAAGAAAACAAAACATGCCTTGGTTTTCCGAGAACAGAAGCCACCAGATGCCTGTGGTCTTATCATAGGCTAGTTCTCTTTCCTAGACCCAGCTGTGGTGAAATCGTCTCTTCTTCAGCTTCTTCTGCCTGGCCTCCTCTTCTTCTGAGAAATCTTTGCAGCTTTTCTGTTTGCACTCGTAGTAGTTGTGCAGGTTAGAAAGTCCACATTTTTCTATTTCTAATAACATTATGTCATCTGCTATTGCTTTAGATACACTTGGCCCTCGGGTTTTTTCTACTTGCCGTGAGGTATGTGAGAGTGCTTCATTAGACGACTGAGTTTCTACCCCTTCACTTGCTGCTTGTACTAAAGGCATTGTTGAATCATCTGCCAAAGAAAGGTCCAATATGCAATGCATAAACCTCACCCTGTCACTTATGCTGAGTTACATTTTTGGCGGATTTCCATTTACCTTTTGCACTTGTTTTTTGTGTCGTTTGTTTTATGAGCTGCTGAAGAATTAAGCTTATAAATTGTATGTGTACACGAAGTTTATCTTGACATTCCTTTTAATGTTACTTCTTTTATGCTTCTATAATTGTAGACATTTTTTTAGTGTTTTAAAAGATTTCCACTGTAAACATCTCTTTTCAAGTTACGCGATACATACTGTAAGTACCTTTTGACTTCCCAGATTTTACGCAATCTTTTCTAACATGAATAAAAATATCGGCTCGCTCGTAAAAGTAAGCTTAATGTTCATGGGACAACATCTGCGGCCTCAGCTCGGACCTCACGCAATGTTTGTTTTTATTTCGGATAAGTTTGCTAGGAAATTTAATTAACCATCCTGTTATAACTGTTAGGAATTTGCACTAACCATACAATTCAGCAGGTTTCGAAGTTCTTAGAGTTCTCATAATAATCAAAGAGGAGCCGGTTGATTGCTTGTATTCAAAGGTCATTGTGGTTCAATGACTCTTTTGACATGCAAAACGCACACTTTATTTATATCCGCCAGTGCAAGTTCATTATGTTGAAAAGATAACTTGTAATGTATTAATGACTCACCTTTTGCCCTCTTTGGAAAGAAATTATCTAAGACGCCTTGGACATGAGGTCTTTTACTAGCATTCTTCGCCATTTTAAGCAAGTGCTTTTGGTCGCGGGAAATGTCACGTGCAAATGTTATGTAATAGCATGACTGAGGGTAGGTCCTGGTAACTACTTTGAAAACGCAGGGGACGCGTTTCGTGCAATGCGATCAAACTTCGAAATTTATCCCTTTGGTTGAGATATCCTTCGGTAATCCGGACACTGAAATATTAGTTTTCATGAAGAAAAGAACTGTAATTCAGAGATGCAATTCCTGGTTAGACTCCCCTGGCAAGGCGGGAAAGCGGTGAAAAGAAGTTTCGGTTAGTCTGGCTTTTGATTTCGTATTTGTCTACTTGAGACCTATTTCGGCGAAAGCGGGTACTGTGCTCAGAGTAGATGGGTGCCGGTACCCGGGTCCCGGCTTCTAATAAAACCCCTGGTTACCATCGTATACTGATAAAGCGTTGTTGCTCAATTTTTTTCTGTAATATCTATATATCTCTTCGTGCTCTGGGAGACTGGTACCAAGAATGTACTAGTCGCACGTGTTCTTGATTACTCCAGCTTCTTATTGAATTTTTTCTAAATCTTTTAACTTTTCCTCAACTATGACTAGAACCGAGAAACTAAGGAAAGAAAACCAAACGTTACGAAAGAAATTCAAGATCTAAACAATCAATGGAAGAAAATCACTGACATGTCGCAAGCAAAGCAGCAAACTGGCGATATTGATATCCCCACCTTACTGAAAAAGGTAAAAGTAGCCAAAACTGTCAAAAAATAAATTTTTGCCTATTAGTTTCTACTTTTACTATTAATTTCTTTAATCCTTCTTTTCTTTAGTCCGTTGTGTAGTCCTCATTCTTATTACAATTTTTAATTCATTTATTTGGAAACTGTAAACTTTTCTGGTCCCGCCTTGAAAAGCCCTGCTAGCTGCAGGCAATAATTCTGTAATTTTATATGTTTATTAACAAAGTTTTGTTGTTGTTGTCATTGCTCTTGAGGTGAAGTGTGCATGATACTTGCATCCCCTGCCCCATCCCATTTATCTTTTCCCTTATTTTCAGTCATTCATTTTCAACAACGGGTAACTCGCAGTTTTCTCTATTGATTTCCCTAGAAAAGTAATTCAATAAAATAAACATGTAGCAGGTGAATCGCCTTCTTACCATTTCCTCTCCAGCCTTCCAGTAGAAATAAAACTGCTTCCCTGTAATATTACTATCCATAGTCAGTCAAAATTGGCAGAGATTGATAGCCTGCTCTCTCTTCTCTCTCGAGACTATATTTTTTCTATTCGCATTCGTCAGAACGCATCCTGATCTTGGTGTTCCTATGTACAAAGCCACAGATTGTCGAGGTATCAGGAGCAACTGCCAATTAGCCACCCCCACTGATTTTATCAGGAGCATCTCGGGCAAGAAACTGGTCGCCTTTTGACTAGGTTGACGCAAGCGGATCTGTAATCAATAATTACCTCTTTTTTTTTTACAGTTATTATGAACCCAATATTGTTGCCCACCCCACACCCACATCAAATAAAAATTAAATGCTGGATGATAAGAGATGACAATGCGCGGTGTGCATCTTGTGTACAATGTTGTAAGTAAATGCTTCCTTATGCCCGTAAAGTGAACAATAATAATATCCCAGTAATATTTTTTGACTACTCACAAATTCTTTAGGTCCATTCGCCTGGTACTTACACAAATGATGAGATACAAGTTTAACAGGGGTCGCTGTAATTTCCTGTAAAAGTAAATTAAATTTCCCCACAAGCATTTCAAAAAGAGTCTCTCAGCCTCAAAGTACAAATAGTTGTATTACATTATGCTTAACATTAGTTGATAGCATGTCAGAGGGAAAATGAACATCTCAATCAAACTTCAAATTGTAGATTGTAGATTTGATGATCTGGTGTCTTGAAGGCATATGAGAAATTTTATTTTAAGTCATCTTTTGATACAGTTTAGCCTTTATTTATGTACGTCTCTATGGTGCTGACAGTTTACTTGGTCCAAAAGAGAACAAAATTCATACAATTCTAAATATTTATCCATCTTTTTGGTGTCGGCATATTGTTTATATTCAGGAGGAAATATTTTGTTTCTTTAAAATCATGGACTTGAAAACATAATTGAAAGAAATCTCGTCAATAATTTTTGTGGTCCACCAGCTGACTTCTTTACATACCTTGTTTCCTTTGACATGTCTCCTCCAGGTACTGAAGGAAGAACTGGAATGACTGATCTTCACTGGACCCTGCAGGGATACTGTGATCCTTCATTACTCTGTGCTTGAGCACACCAGAATTCACAGTAGCCTCATCAACACTGTTGAATAGTTCCTTTGTGACCTTAGGTTGACTATCCACGAGATCAGCAAGTCCGAGTGCATGCAGACCCTCTCTCAGCTGTTTCATTTCTGCTAGTCTCTTGTTTACAACTTGATAAATCATACAGTCATAGGCCACCTCAGTGGTATTATTCTTTGTCAGGAAAGGGGCTGTTACTCTACACTGATCCATCAAATTCAAAATTGCATCAACTTGTAATTACGTATCCTGTTCAGCATCCATCAGAATCTCCCTTCCCTATGACCTTACCTCTGTGTCTGCGTATGGCCCGTAAAAGGGTGAGTCACGACTTTAGGATCTGGCTACCATCCTCTTCAGATGACACTTACAAACACCCTTTCTATGTGAGATCAATCCCTGCGTGGTCGCAGTTGTTAGTTCGGCATCTTACCCAGAATTTATCTGAAGAGTGTCCACTACTTTAACATTAATGTAATTCAATACCATGTAAATGTTTCATTGTAATTTCATACAACGTATTTGAGCGACCACTGGCCGCTCCATTGCTGGAGTAGGACAAACGCTATTGGCAATTACCTTGATTAAAGATGAAGTAAAGATAAACTTGACAATATGACAATTATTCCTCGAGCCTGAATGGGCTGTGAGTAAATGGCCTTGACTCAGAGGCCATGAGGGCGAGAGGAATAATTGTTTTAGTAAAATCCAACTAGTGGGTCAAAAATATAGAAACAAAACATTTTTAGCTAGTTAAAGCCAGACTTAAATCCATTGTTTTGGTTTTCAAAAGCTGGCACTTTTCACTTGGGCTATAACACATAGCCTAGTAGTAGCGCAACCAATCAGAACGCAGCATTGATAATAGACCAGTAGTTGGATTTTACTAAAAGGTGTTATCCTTGCCTTTGCAAAACCTTTTCTTTTTCCCCTTACTGAAATAAAAAGGTCAACCCAACTTTTTGCCTTTTCAATAAACTGATTGACTTCTTTGTGACAATTACAGATCTTTATATTATTTCCATGTTGCTGTAACTGTTTCTGAGGTTGTGTGACGCAAGGGATTTGAAAGTAAGTTCTCTCAGACGTTTTTTTGGTCATTTCCCAATAAACTAGTTAAATCGAAAGTAGCAGACCCCTTACCATCAGCATTTGTCTTCTCCCAGATTTCAAAACCTATGGCACATGACTGTATTATAGTCTGTAGTTTATCCCTATGAACACCAAAGCTCGATTTAAAAGGGCGGTAGCCCTAACTCTTTTCAAGACTTCTCTTTTTTATGGTTGGTTAAAAAGGTCGTTTATTGAAGTTTGGAGCATTAATAATTCCTAATATCTTGCAAGAAATCTTACAAAATATCCAAAAAACATTTCTGTACTAAAATGACCGATTTATATCATGCGCAATTGAGTAATAAATTGTAATATTATATAAGGGATGCCTTTGAGTTACACAACTTTTTGATGTGAGCAACAGACTGGCACCAGGTGATGACCAGGTGCTCCAACTTCTCCATTTCTTGATACCACAGTAAGGCCACTCTGGACTTGTAGAAGCAGTTCCGCTAGGTAGATCTCTATGACAGGATCACCAATCATTAGCAGTAAATTAGTTTTAGATAGTGTGTCCCTGGTGACTAGACTATGAGAAAACAAAAGAAAAAGTTCATAAGAAAAACTCCCTATTGTAAACCAACAATGTGTTGGGATTTGAAAGAGCAATAGGGATCTCTAGATGGCTTAGACCTAGTTGATAAGTGGATATCTGCTATTTTTAAATTTCTTAATACTTTTGCTAAAAGCATAATATGTAGATTTAGCCAGGGCTAAAAGGGAAGCTCTTCGTAATAGGGAACTTAAGAACCAACCCACAAGCTTCAGCAGGTACAAATCAACAGGTTTAAGAGATTTTTGAAGTTCTTTGTATTTTTTGTTTTTATAAATTCAGGTATCCTTCCTTTTTTCTCCTAACAAGCGATGTGGATTGAAAAGTCGACTAATGATTTGTTTTTACTTTGATGAATGACAACAGCTGTGAAGGCTGAAGGAGTGAACTCGTAAGTTATTTGTAAGTATTAAGGAAGGCAAATCATTTATCTTTAATATAGAGTAAATAACATTGATATGGAAAACAGCCATTGCATTTCACTTCAGTGGAAATAGGTGTTTCTGTGGTGGAAAAAGCAAAGTGAAAACGTGATTGCATATGACTGACACGTCTCTTACTTAATCCGAACAATTGATCCAGACAACACATGAAACTGAACAAATTCCTCAAAGAACCTTCTAAGCCGTAACAAGTAGATCCTGGTTCACACAGTATGGTCTCTGAAATGCCAAGAACATCTACTAGTATTGGAATGATCTTAACTCTGACAGACACTCGGACTTGGTCATCTCTTTCAGGCTGAAAGTTGAATAATCTTTGTATGGAAAGCAAGATTTTTCCATTTGAAAAGGTGAGGCAACACTAAAAAGTCTCAAAACAATAAGATCTCCATTATTTTAAAAGATGCCATTGTGAGAAAAACTTGTTGTGAACAAACAGTTTTACATTTAGGTTTAAATTCGGTGTCGTCGTTGACCTACTGACCGACTGTATATTGAGTTTCCTTTTTCCTGTTGAAATGGACATTGTTGCTCCAGTCGCTTCCCAGAAAACAGATGATTTGTAAGTTCCCTAATATCTATAGTATACTGAAACAAAATTATAAAATCATGTAATGTTAAGCGGCGACAGCAAGAAAAACAGCCAAAAAGCAGTAGGTCTAAGTAGCAAAAAACAACTTTGCACGTACAGCACACTTTTTTGTACATTTTTTTGCTGCTGATTTTCATGATGACAATGTAAAACTTCCAAAAACTTCCTAGTTACATGCTCTATGGAGGAAATACTGTATGGGGTGCTGTTCACTTTTTTTGCTGCTGCTCATTTTCATCCTGGTGGCCGCTAGCATTTCTCATTTTCTCACAGCCGCTTTAAAATGTTCATGTTATTCTTCAAACGAAATTGATGTCCTTTGTTTTTTCTATTTCTGGCTCTAGCTCTTTCTCTGATATCCACGTCAATGTAGACGTTAAAATTAAGTCAAAAGAAAAAAATTGGCTTTGTTGTTGTTTTTATCGCTAAAAGTCCGGGTGGCTATGCGATTTACCGCCAAAACGTGCGGGTACTTGAAATGCAAAATTTCACCCCAGCTTACACGAAGGGTGGACATACATAGGGGCACTTTTCTCAGAGCCAAAATTTCTTGGATGCATAGATTACCAAGTTTTCTTACACATGGTGCTCTGCTGTGCTCACTAAATGCGCATACGAAAAAGCTCCGCCATTAGTTTTGTTGAGCTTTTTACAGTTATAAGAATAAAAGCCCCTCTTTTAAACACCCATCTATTTCCCACCCCCACCTGGACCCCTTGGCATTATCAGGTCATTTACTGTAATCATGACTTACACTGACGCACCACACCAAGTTTGATCTCCGCTTGAAAGCATACTTTAATGTTTGTGGATGGCTACACCTTGGCCTTTAGCTAACAAGTCTAATGTTAGTGACTTGCCAACATTTCTTTGATGGAAGAATGCAGAAGGCCAATCGTACTTTCATCTGTAAATGTATAACCTCATCAAAAAACCAACTGTTACTACTACATTTTCTGCCTTGTTATTAATAATGACTCCCAATATTTGTCCAAATTGACTGCAGACCACAATCATAATTTTGTTATTGCCTTAACAATAAAATTGTCATAATGGTTGGTCTCTTTGAGGCACGACTTGCGGACTGTACGTAAGAAGGTGGAAAAAAGAGTTGGAATCCTGGGCCATGTTAAAAGGTTCATGACAAAAGAGGCAGTGCCACTTTTTTACATTACTATAATACTGGCATTATTTGATTACTGCAACATCTGAAGCAGTTTGCTACAAGATATAATCACACATCATACACTCTCTTCTGAGGCTATAGGGTATTTGCCTTGGTCGAGTCTTTCTACCAGATACTCAAAGCTACTTTTTATCATATTTTACTACATTTTCAAACATTTATGTCTATACTGCAAGACAGAGTATAAGGCTATCTTTACCAAAGGTCAAACTTAAGAATAATAATAATTATAATAATGCTTTAGGGACTCTCAAAAAATGCACTATTATTTAAAGATTTAATATCTCTGAAATACCTTTTCGAGGAGACGTATTTTTACCACCTTCATGATTCCTTCTCGCCGGCTTTTCAGAACCGGCTTCGCTGATCTCACTGCATCTAAGAATCTTTTGTATGGGCAGATTTCATTTGTGCAAACCTATACCAAAGCTGTCTGAACCCTTAAAAAGACATTTTGCATTACCTTATTTCTTCACCATAATCAGGTATCTGCCTGCACTTCAAATTTAGTGTTGGCAAAGGGCATTTGCAACGGCTGAAATCTGAAAGCCCTGTGGATTGAATATGAGAAAGAGATAATGGAATGTTAACTAAGTGCCAAACTGTAAGCCTGCTCATTAAAAAGGCGGGGATGATTTTAAACATATTCCAAACTCAATTGCTGATTAAGCCATTTTCCGAAATGGACTGTAAGGTATTCTTTCAGTGGACACTGTCGTCCGTGTATGATACCTATTCATTGAAAGATGGCATATCTCGATAGTACCTTGGCAGATTTCCTACTGCTTTTGTCATTCATTAGGTCCATGTCTTCAGTGGATAAACCTTAAACCACTACAGTTATCAAAGGACCTTCCATTTTTTTGTTTTAAAACATATCTCCCTGCCAAATCTAAAAATTTATTAGGCAAGATACAGGTAGCCTTAAAGGCATTCTGAAAAGTTCCAGATCCAAATGGCTGGACTGGAAATCCTTGAACGTCTAGAATGCAGTGAAGGGGTCCTTCAGTATTGATGGAGCCCCAATCACTGGCAATCGTAAAAGGCAGAATTGCCACTGGTAATTCTACAACATGGAGGAAAAAAATAATGCCAGTAGGAGAATGATAGTTTGATAAAAGCATCTTGAAGTGTGTTAACAATTTCCACTGAGGGTGCAAACTGTTTCCAGACTTGGAAGGCAACGTTCAATCATTCTGGGCAAAGGAGGACCATTGAAAAAAAAAAGGACATGGCAAAAAAGAAACAGAAAAAAAGGGTCTGAACGAAAAGTTTCAATATTGAAAAAATAAAGGCAAGGGATGTATAATTATTATGAATCATATTATATTCAAGAACTAGGACAAGGCAAGTGGGGCCTATATTCTTAGCCTTGTTTTCCTTTTTGCCCGATATTTCTGGTTCTTAAGTATTCTTTCCAGATATGACAATATTTTATTTTGCTTTTTCTACCAGTTTGCCTGACTGGCGGTAGTGCAATAGACTTTCCCAGGTTAATCCCAGCAGATGGCGTGACTGGTAATGAGGATGGCACTGGTTGGGTTAAACCTCTCAGTTGACCTCTGCGCCTATGATCTGTCACTCACTTGCTCAGCGCTACGGATGCTAGGGCTCGAATGCGTACACTTCTAAGTGCGTTGGTAGCAGCAGTATTTGTGGTCCTGATACTGGGTATGGAAGTGGATCCAGGCTCTCGCGCATCGCCGCCTCCTCGTCAGATGAGTCCTGAAACAAATGACGCTTTTTGCCACATCCTTTGTCTCCAATAATAGTAACTATTTGGAGCTAAAATTGAATTACGAGTCTAGTGTCTCGGCTCATTGTCATAAAGATGTCCTCCTTTTGAAGAAACCCTTTATTATTTATACTTTACTTTATTTTTTTTTCTATACAAGTTTTACCCATGACATTTACCTACACCCACAACTTACGACCTCTACCCACTATCTGTGAAAACGGGTTTTGCCTTAACAAAAGGGTAAACTGATGGACAGGGAAAAACTCTAAACTCTCTCTGGGAAAGGCCTTTTCCTGGGGACACTTGCTAGCTGCGAGAAGGCACGGAATCTCTTATGCCTGCTGAATACCCTTGAGACAATGATCACAACAGAACTTGTGTCCAACGTATAAGTTTAATCCAAGACTATACTGTGGGTACAGTCAAAACATAACCAAAGAAAATCTTACAAAACACTGGTGTAAATACTCTAAGCTGATGACGCGATACGGACTAGGTCATGTACTAGCGAGGTAAATAACAGAACACAACAATCATTTCTAAAAGACTATTGGTGGAAACCTAAGCTTGTTTTTAAAACATTAATTACTTCCAAAAGCTACACAGGTGGATAACGGTTTCTTACAGGTTGATCACAGCTGGAAGACTAAATACAATTATGACTTGACAAATAAGTTTATGCTCAATAAATCAACAGGTTGTTTACGGCTTAAAGAAGTTAAGACTAAAGAATAAATGATTCCTACATTGGCTTTTCATATTTTTACCAGCGAAAGCAAAATAACTGAATAACAATAAATGCTCTCTTAACATACCCACGACATTTAGCAAGAAATTTGATTCCTGTTGTTCTTTCATTAAATCAGTAACCCGAATACGTTAGGTTGATAGCGTCGTTTACCAAAAAGCCAACTAAAGGTATGTAAACACAGATTATACGATAACCATATTTGACACAATTATATTCAGACCTCCTTTTTAGCGAACAAGTTGTACAGGGAGAACATCAGTTTTCAGGGTGCGTTTTCCAGGCTTGGGCGAGCGATAATGCTTCAAAACCTCACTTCTTTAAGAACCTGGCCAAGAGCGTCGGCCTCTAATCGACCAGATTGTCATTTCAAAGCCCCAAAGAAAAGTCTTATGGTCGTTGATATTTTGAAGCCCAAGTTGCAGTGGAAGGGACCGACAAAATTCAAGGAGTCTTGTAAAACCTGTTATCTAGTCCTCATTCATATTACGATTTTTATTTCATTTATTTATAAACTGTAAACTCTCCTTGTCCCGCCTTGAAAAGCCTTGCTAGCTGCAGGCAATAATTTTGTAATTTTATTTGTTTATTAACAAAGTTTTGTTGTTGTTGTCATTGCTCTTGAGGTGAAGTGTGCATGATCCTTGCATTCCCTGGCCCATCCCATTTATCTTTTTCCTTATTTTCAGTCATTCATTTTCAACAACAGGTAACTCGGAGTTTTCTCTATCAATTTCCCTAGAAAAGTAATTGAATAAAATATAACAGGCAAATCACCTTTTTGCCCTTTCCACTCCAGCTTTCCAGTAGAAATAAAACTGCTATGTAATATGACTATCCATAGTCAGTTTTGGTCCCCAAAGTGTCTTGAGAATGTAAAATTGGTAGAGATCGATAGCCTGCTCTCTTGTAAGACGCAAGAAGTGCCTAGGCATGACATTCTCCAGGGTCTTGAGAGTCAACCCTTCCGATGTGCCAGCAAAGTGTGGATCAATCAATACCTTTACATGGTTAAAAGCTATTACACAGGGCGATCCAGTTTATTCAAAGAAGTGGTTTACAATGCAACTCTATACCATGCACTTATTGTGTTAGCCCGTTATGTTGTCCATCTTTATCACTGCTTGGTGTTCCTGTGGTACAAAGCCAGAGATTGTTGGGGTATCGGGAGCGACTGCAGATTAGCTGCCCCCACTGATTTTATTAGGGGCATCTCAGCCAGGAAACTGACTAGGTTTATGGATGCGGATCCGTAATCAAATCAAATCAAATCACTGGTTTATTGTCCCTTTTGCAGTCAGAAGACTGAATTGTAGGATACCTTACAAGCTGTGATATATACACCAATACGGTACACTAATTGACAAGATTAATATTTAACACTAACAAAATTTGAGAAACATTCAGTCCTTGTGGCCATGGGCCTGCTAGAACTCCCTGATCTTAGACATACACTGGTAGATATAGGTACCACTCTGTTGTGTATTACTGGGTATACTGGGTTACCTGGCCGAACCTTACCTATAAATTTAATACACGAGACTGTCCGACAGTCAGAAAGTGTGGATAATGCAGCTTTGTCAAGTGCTGTTTTATAAGAAAAACAGTTAACACCCGCACATAAGAACAAATGGATTAAGAACACCAGGCTGAAATTTGGCCAATAAAGCCCCATTTTTATAAGAACAAGATGAGCCTGAAAATTGTAACATGTTCCTATAAAATGGAAAAAGTGTTATAATTACAAAACATGTAAGTTTATGTTTGCTGTCAGATTACTTCATTTGTTAATGAAATCAAATTACAGAATAATTATTTATTTTACCTCTAGCAACATGTTTGGGATAGTATTACTAAATAAAAATTGAAGAACATTTTGAGGCTGATTTGTCATTAAGACTGTGTCCATGAGAGGACCAGGCAGGCATGACACAAGCTATCGCTGCGATTTGGATGAAACTTGGTCAGATTGAAGGACCCACCCAATAACTCTCAAAGACAAAGAGAGTCTGATTTCCAACTATTCCCTTGGGAGTTAGACCACCCCCTGGATTTTTGCCCTTAATCATCAAAATTTCACGAAAATAATCATCAAAATTGGACACTGCTCCTGGTTACAAGGTACAATGAATTTTTAACCCCTTCAACACAAATAAAGGTCAATCCTTTACCAGTTGATACTTGCAGTTTCAAGTCATTTGGAGTGACAGGTGCCAATCAAGGGATGTCAGTGCGTACCCATGTCACAGAAGATTATGAAATTAGAGAAAATAGCTCAAGTTTAGATCCAAATATCTGAAAAATCCAATGTCCTTTTTCAAATCTGTTTTTACAGAGACTTAAAGCTATCCTTAGACGTATAAAATGGCAAATAAAATTTTTGGCATCTGTCATGTTTTGGTTTTAAAAGCAGTCTAAGCACCGTGACATGAACTGGTTTCCTCCAAGACAGAGGGAACAAATCTAAGAAAACAAAATGGTATCTGATAAGTTTATTCAAATTCCCAAACAGTGAAATAAGTAGTGTCTTCTTACAGTATTTCTTACATATGGGTCATACATGAAAGCAAATTTCATTACTGTACCTACCAAAATGATGGTAATATTAAGTTTAATAGCATCCAGATTCTATTAATAAGAACCCTCGTGTTGGAACGAGCGAGCAAGTATTTCTCTTCATTTTAAATCTGCCGTGTGTTCAAAATAAACGATCCTGGCTAATCTTTATCTATTTTTAGCGTGAAATTTGAATTACGATTAAATGGTCATAAACTTGACCTTGACAGTTAGTATAAAAATTAATACACTGACACTACATTCCAGCGGCCTCAAATGAATGCTTCCTGACTAGACTTCTATCTCATATACTTTATTTTGCTCTTGCCAGTAAATTTCGGAGTTTAGCAAGTGTATTTAATTCTATTTTAGCGAAAGAAACGATAAATTAAAGACTTGACACAGCAACAAGTTGAAATACACAGGTCAAACATGGCAACCAGTTAAGAAAATGAGCCCGGAGATGTTGTTATTTCTAGTCAGCGGTTAAAGCTATCTGTTATTCCATGTAATCGAGCACGAAACAACGTCTCGTTCAAAATCGTACAACAATGGTAAATACTGTATTTATACTCTGATTACTCCCGAGCAAGTTTGCGTGATATACATTTTCGTTTATGTGTGCATAATGGCCCAATAAACAGCTGAAAACAGAAGCCATTATGGGCTCATGCTGAAATCCAATTGAGACATTTTCAAAAGAGGCAGTAGGAAATCTTGGGAAATCTTAAAAAATCTTACCCAGTCCCCCTAATGTTGAAAATAGCCAATTGAAGCATGTACCTAAAGCACTATTATTTATGGCTTAAAGTTCCAACTGTCTTCTTATTTCGAGCCTTGCGCACATTTCTTCTGCTTCTCCAACGAAGTCTTCCTCTTCATCTTGATCAGCTTGTTCTATGGCTAGACGTTAACTTCTATACAGCACAGACAATCTGCTGAAGTATAGGGCTATTTGCTCTGTAGTCAGCCACTCCTCTTTGCTAAATATTTTTTTCATCACGAACAGCTCTCATTTCCTACACACATCAAATGCTCTTGCCTTCCTTCCTGTCTCCTCACCTTCCATGAATATCTGTTTCAGATGTGTCTTTACTTTTTCAGTAAAGCGTGTTGCTTTTCATTATGTTTTTAATGCCCATCCGCTGGAGATCTGGCAAGTGGGATCATACCTAGATGTTTGCGGGTTGGAAGCTGTTTCTCTGTGTATGTAGCTCCCCCAGACCTCTTTGCACATCTCAGCCCATTTCTTCTTTACACTGTCGAAGGTCGATTCTCTCTCTAATTTTACAAGATGTTTACCCACATCCAGGTGTTTCTGCAGATTTGTAAAAGACTGGTATGTCTTTCTGCATCCTTCCTCAGGACAGGAGAAGAAAGCTCGTGTAGCTTCATCAGCCGGGGAATCTTCAACAGGTTGTGGAGGACAAGGTTGAGGACACACGCACTTCACCCTTGTTGACACAGATCTAAAGACACTAACATCCTCCCATGGTATGCTAAAGGGCTGCACGACTTGGAGACCAGTAGGCCCCTGAGGCAAACCAAATGGCTTCACCTGTGTTGGTGTGAAAAGCTTTCCAGACTCCACATTGTAGGCCCTCCATACTCGCAAACCAGCTGACTCGAAGCTGAAATTATTGAGAGCCTGAATTCCGGTCATTGTGTGCTTCTTCATTGTTTGGTTAGACTCCTGAATCTTCACAACTGCTGCATGGCACCCTTTAACTCCACCATAGGAATCAATAGCAGTTTTTATGTCTGTAGCAATTTTATTTGTCACTCGATTAAATTTTTTTTTTTTAGCAACAAATGCATCCAAAAACTAGAAATACGGATGAAAACTATACTGGCTGGTATAAAAAGAGTCTAGGTCTAGGTTCTATGAAACTATAAAATGTTCACAAGCGCGACTTTCAAGTAAGAACATACATAAAATTAATCAAATTATTCACATCAGTTAGAGTCCGAGGTCAACTTCATTCCATAGCCGGGTGGCTCTGTACACAAATGACCGCTGACCGGTAGCTGCTCAGAATAGCAGTACATCCAACTTGTTTCTGTGTATAGTATTTAGAGAGTGAACAACAGATGTGCCAGGGTACAGCGTCTTTCACCTCAAGTTGCCAAGCCACTGGCAACTTTTCAAGTTGCTTTAATGTGGGGGTGGTGTAGCCGCACTTTCTGAAGTTGAGCAATGTTTTTCTTTGTTGCACTGGCCCAAAGTGACAAACAATAAAAAATCTTACCTTTATTTATGTAACGTCGCATGTGAGCCTTCAGTGCAGCAGTTCTTCTATCGCAAACATCTTTTCCAGCCTGTGGATCACTAAAGTCATATCTCTTTATCATAATACCTGCACGCTCTCCAATGCTAAGAAGTGACAAGATTAGGTAAGCACAATGGTAGCATCCTGCATTGCCTCTTGAATGTTCAGATTTGCCACGTTTAGCGTTGTTAGTGTGTGCTCTATGATTGAAGCCACAGCAAACCAATTTTGAGTACATTCTTCGACAAATGGATGTAGGTTTGGGCCTGGGGAAAAAAGTCAAAGACAGACTTAGCAATGGGTTGAACTACTCCAGATACATTTAGGCATCTGGTGTCATGCGACGCCGTCATTACCCAAATAACATTTTCATGGGAGCATATTTCTAACTTGATAAAACACCCCCCTTCCATTAGAATTTAACCACATAGTTTCAATCAAACCAGACGATTCTACACTAGCCATTTTCTGGTGATTACCTCTATCTCCTCATGTTCACTCTTAGTCACTGCAGCTGTCACATACGACGATTTTCCCTTTTTGCCAAACCAGTCCCGCTGTGTTTCTCTGAAACTGGCTGGCAAAACTTTCATGGCCCAATCCATAATCAGCAAGACCTGGCTTGTCAACAAATTGTCAATTATGTCACTTTTTGCACCATCCTGGTGGGCTGCCCGAAGGATGTGGGCTTTCCATTCGTCAATTTTGGCAAAAGCGGTGTCAGCCTTGTATCTCATTTCCTCCTCTTGGTCGTTACCACTTTAATTAGACCACTCCACTCGTTACCATCATTACCATCATTAAAGTGAAAGTTGATAAACTTTTTGAAACCCAATAACTCACTTTATGGATGCTTTATTTTCGACCGAAATTCGGCCTTTTTCCGCTATGACCACCACCCGGCTTGCGACATTGTCGCTTTGGTGGATTCACATCAAGCTGCTTGTTTCCTTTGGCTTTTTCCAATCCCTGAATCTGCTTTCAGCTTCTTCCATCCTCTTCGGTCCTTTCTGATTGATCTGTGTCGAAAACATGGACCTTTAACTACGTTTTGTTGACATGTGTCAGGTTCATTACTACAGCAAACCAATATACTGCCCCCATTTAAGGTGAATCCGGATTCTGGAATATGGGAGATTTTTGCATGTGGAATCCAGAATATGTATAAAGCGAATTCAGTTGTTTTGACTTATGTTGATAATCCATACGTTAGATACGAATATATGAGAGTATAGTACAGTTGTTTGAGTATACTCATAAGCACATACTATCTAGGCTTGAAGAAAATTTCAACGTTTTTTGTTACTTTGTTGTTAATGTTATTAATCTTGTTATTAAGATTAAGATCTTATTAAGATATCAAGATCTTAATACGATCTTAATAAGATCTTGTTAAGTTACTCTAAGTATCTTAGTAAGAATTCCCTAGTAAGAAACTCAAGATTCTTAAAGAAAACGCAATAAGATCTTAACAAGAACGTAAATAGTAAGGTGCCAAAATTAAGTTTTCAACTAACTCAGATCTGTATGGCCCTCTCAAGAGATTGAGTTGTGTTAATCATTTTCCTGATATTATTAAGAACAGATCCTAGTCAGACTGAAGTTGCGAAACATACAATACAATTTATCAATGATGAGTTTATGTCGGTGTAACCTGTGAACTTCTTCTTTCTTTGGTAATATGTTTTTCTAGATTCCATTGTGTTGTCTTGTTAAAAGTTATCTTTGTTTTACGTCAGTTGCTGGTGCAGCAGGTTTTAGCTTACATCAAGGATGAGCCTCAATAACATCTCTTTTAAATGAAAACATATTATTAATGTAAATTAAGGTTTTGAAGAAGTCAAGATCTTACTAGGATCAACTTTCAAAAAAATTATACAATCTTAATTACGTAAAGCGGAATACTGGCTGATTGGCTGAAAATAAGCCACTGTTAACCCTGTAATATTTGTAAAAAATGATTGAAACCAGGCTTAGTCTAAACTACCTGTTAAAATTATCTTGCAAATTACAATTTTTGGGCTTTCATTAAAGGGAGAGAGAAAAGTGTCAATTCCTATTTAATTCCCTCAATAAACAGATCAGAGAGGGTTTAGGATACTGGCCCCATTAACACCAAAGCTTAACGAAGAGTTGTATAGTTAAACACAGATTAAAATATTGTTTCCTTCATTAAACCTGCTCTTTGAATTTAGCTTATCGCAACTTCTGAGTACAAATTACAAAACCTATTGAATCGTGTTCCAATTTTATAAATCAAATATTTACAACCAACATTAATGTTCAGTTGATGTCAATGGGGCAGTGCATTCATTTGTATACTATTATTATTATTACGATCATTATTATAAGTAGTAGTAGTAGTAGTATTATTACTATCCAGGGCTGTGATTAAGTTTTAAAGCAGGCGTAACATCTAAGATTTCAGCTATAACATATAAGCACATGGGCTAAGGCCATGTAAACCAAAGCCCAAAGGGCCTGAGCTTTTAGGGGGGTGTGGGGGCCTGCCCCCCCCAGAAAATTTTTTTGAAATTAGACTCTCGGAAGTGCATTTTCCTGCACTCTGGGGCAGTACTTTTTAATTTTTTCAATTAAAAAGTTATGCAAATAAAACAGGGCAAAAACAATTATTAGTGTTATGAAAATAGTGAAGTGCATGTTGTAAGTACTTTGACTCAAACTTCACGAGTGGTCCTTTTTGCTGTATTCTGCATTCACGTGTGTGAATTAATACCTTCTTCTCTTTACTAATACATTTTAGCATTTACATTTTACAGAGATGAATAAAGTTGTTAATTTCTTCAACAGCTTAGTGTAAAATTGATTGTTTCATACGCATAATTGGCAACTGAGTCTCTCACCATACATGTGAAGATGACTAATAGCCATCTTCATAATTAGAACCATCATCTTTACAGTTGTAAAAAGAATGAAATTGGTCGCCATCTTTGCACTCTGGGAATTTTTGTTCCAAGGTTTTCAGCATAACGTTTGTGTCTACTGTGGATGTGACAGGCTGAATTTGTACGGCTGAACAAACTGAGCCATGTTTGCAGGTCTTTGCTGTCAGGCTGCTTTATCACCTCCATTTGCTGCCGTCTGTTGGGACTGTTGATTCCAGGTTGCCTTGATGCGGGTTCCTTCCTTTAGTTCATGGCGAAATCATGAATAAAGGTAAACTTCCACCATGCAAAAAGATAACTACCCACATGGAATAGTGGTCACGCAACATTAAACCATGAAAAATGGTCAGCAGAATCCCATTTACCTTAAGCATGGCGATTTGCATAATGAGTTTTGCTGCTGAAAATGGTGTCGGAATTCAACAACGATTGATCAGGGATGTTATCGGAAGGTTTTTTTTACGAGAAAAGGTTTAAGTTTTTACCCAAAACATGTCTTAGAATCAGTAACACAGACAACACAAGTCAACAAATATATTTCTTTTAGAAGGTAAAAGTTTACAAATAAATTTCAATTTGTTCTGCCCTGTGAATATTCATTACACAGCAACCATCACCCATAACACCGACTGAGCTCAGCTGTAACAGGTGTTATGGGTTACGGCCCCTAATGACAGCTCTGCTACCGGTATTACCATTATTTTTGCATCTAATGACATCTGTGGGTGTTATCAGTCCCCAATGTTCACCTAATCATGTTCATATGTTGTGTCCAACACAGTAATAAAAATCTTCCCATCCTTGCGGCCTTCAACTTCCAAGCACCTATTCACAATAGCATTACAGTTAACAATCGTTGGAATGTTTGTTTCCTGAACTTCCATAAAATCTTGCCCCGGAAAAGTTCTTCTGACAATTTCTTGTAGAACGACATCTTGTGGCAGGGGAAGCCCTTGGCATACATTTAAACCTATGTTGTATTTCAGTAGTAACGCGTAAGTGATATTTTCATAAGAAATATAACACACACTCTGCTAAAGACCACCCTTCCATGCGAATGGCACTCTATGAGGTAACTGCAGGAATTGCCTCTTCTGGGGTACATTGTACTGTGAAAAGTAACATGATCTTTTGTTAGCCGGTAGGATACCAAGTGTTCTGCATCAGCTCCCACACCAAATGTTTTATGAAGGACATTATGAAACTGATCATCGAGCTTCTTGTAAAGCACAGGCTCATGAAGAAGCATTCCTCCATCTATTATTCTCACATTTTCACTTTCAAGCAGCAGATGCTGTGCAAATCTAGCAGCAGCTGGAATATCTTTGCAGTTTCCTTTAACATAGTCTCTGCTCCAGAGTATAAACTCTTGAGATTTGCTAGCTTCAAAAAGCTTAAAAAACAAACACAGATGTGAAAGACAGGGAACCATGGTCAAGTACCTGGTAAGGAAAATGAAGCAGAGAGTGGCTGTTGAAGGTACACTCTTGTTGTCATAAAGATTTGGAAGGAGTCTTACAACGTTATCCAATAAAACCTGGGATTTCTCAACACAAACTTTCGACAAAGGAACCAAATGCAATTTACGCAAAGCAGTGGTAAGAAGAGCAAAGTGATACAAATGATCGCTAAGAACAGCATCTTGAAGGCGAGGTAACCTAGTAAAAAGAACAAATAAACGAAATTCTGATGCTTTCCAGAGTTTAAGATCATCAAGGCTACGTGGCTTTCTGTTGCAGTCATGAGGTACTTGAACGGACAAAAGTATCTCATTGACTTCTACTGCAAATCCCACCAGGCTGTACGATTCTGAAGCAAAATTTGGATTGAGCCACCTGTTAAAAAGCTGTCTCTTGAGAATTCCTTCACAGACACAGTGCATCCAGTCAATTGGAACATTATCGAGGATGTCACGAAATTGTCCAAAGGCATGCTATCCCTTAATTCCAAACAAAGTATGACCTGTTCTCTCGGCTATGTTTGCAAACCTTCTTCATTCCTCTGCTGTCCTCAGAGATACCGTGTCAGTTGTGTATTCATACACTCTTGCCTTCAACTCCCTGTCATAAAGACCAGGGTGCCTGCAGGTGCCGCAAACAAACTGGCCATTGAACTGCTTAATATTGAGGAAAAGAGCTTTGGCAGGAAGATCGGGTACTATTGATTGAATACGACAAACAGAAGGTATTGGTTGGCCAGTATCATATTCAAAGTCAGTACCATTTGCCAGGTCAGACAGCTCGTTTACAAAATGTTTAGGGAAAACTGGCACATTTGGTTTAGATTTGCCATACCAGAGCCCAGTCAGTAGAATGTTATCAAACATGTACCTTTCTTGGGAGGGTAATTCCACAAGGAAGCACATCAGTGGCCAAATGCTGAAGCTCTTTGACTTTATGAGAGGAGCCCCATCACAACTCATGACTATTGAAAAAACTCTTTTCCCTCTTGCATGCGGTTCATTGTGGAAAACTTTTGATAAACTCTGCCATCCTGTATGTCCCTCAGATACTCATTATTTACTCACTGTGCTCGACAACTTGTTTCCAATGTTCTAAAATTTAACATAGAAACAATGATACTAGCCGATGAAGTTAACCTACAGTGGCACACTATTGGTAGTGGCATGTCTGAGCAAACAACTGGAATGTTAATTTTCTTGTGTTTCATGATCACTTTGACATTAACTGTCTCAATGAGCATAATGCACTCTAAACTGTCAAGATAACTTGGGGTTGGGTACTTCCTTTAATAGCCTTTCAGGTGTAGATTAGGTTTCTTTTGGCCAAATTCTGTTGATATCTGTATTCCAGGGCCAGTTAAAATACTTTCGTTCCTGAAATCAATTACATTAAGTATTTCCTGTCAGAAAAGAAATAAAGGGGGGGTCGACAGAGGGTACACCCAATGTATGGGGTAAATAAGGTATGTGCCAGTGCTGTAATCCAGGTGTGATCCTCATATAGAGTAATATCATGTGCATTTAAATGCCCCGCTGCATAAAAAAACAAATCTGTTTCAACTGAACTGTACCTAAGAGTATTGTGTGTTTCCTTTTAATTCTCACTTTTTCCTTTAATTGGAGCTCATTCTTTAGTTTTGGGCTATAGAATTGGGTATGAGTTTTCATTTGTCTCCTCCTTAAATAGGGTCAGGGTTTAAGACTCTGGGCGGCACCATATATGCGAAATTTTTCGCACCCCCCCCCCCTCCTCCTGGGATAATTCCTATGTGTTGTCTGAACAGAAGCCCCACTGATGACCCCGGTCAAGAACAAAACTGGAACCCAAAAAGAAATACACAAATGGTTGGTTTCTTACCTTGAATTAATCTTTAAATTTGCGGTTTTAATGACAGAACAAAAGATCTAAGTGGGTCGATTTTCACACCTTTGTCTTCACAATCTTCGTTTTTACACAATTCCTTTTCGACTTTCTCATGGCATTTTGGGCAGAGCTCAATAAGACTGTGGGGGAGTAGACAGTCTCTGTAGGAAGAGGTAGCTGTATTGTTGCCATCGGGCAAAGTTAGTTCCTGTAACTTCAACAAGTCTCTCTTTGCAGATTCTGAAATATGTTTTTTAAAGAAGGCTAACAACAGTGCATCAAAATTGCCATAAGTGAAAGTGGAACCTGGATAGAAGGAACTTTCATGTTCATTCTTTGGGGAATCGTCTGGCTCGCTGTCATCACCAATGTCTCCTAATATAATTTCTTCAGAGCTGCATTCATTGCTGTAGATGCTTCCCAGCACACTGTCTGGACTTTCATAACAGTAACATGCGATGTTGCTTAACTCCTTTTCACAAACTTTTTCAAAGCAGGGGTCGCCACTTATATCATTAGGGTCCATATGAAGTCTGTCCTCAGGGAGTGAACACATCTGGCGATCATCATTCTCGGGACCACGACATTTCTTTTTTTCAGAAGTTTCGATGATGGCGTATTCTTGACTGTTTTCTGAGTCATCACTTGAACATGTGCTTTTGAGGTTGAATCAGAACATTTTCCTACTGTAGATATATGGTCAAGGAACTTGAAGTGACGCTTGAGTGTGAAAAATTCCTCTTTCTTCTATGAACAAAAAAAAATTTTAGTGGAACAGGTTGTTGATCCTTTGGTTGCATTATTTTCATACTCAGAGCTTATATTCTCAGCCATTGCGACATGTGGGCAAAAAGAAACACAGGAAATCGAGAGACAGTTATTCTCTAGCCCAGTTGACTCTGCATGTGACGTACAACCTGTCCTTTCGTGACTGTGCATGTTCAGTCATAGTAATCCGTACGAAATTTCGAAGCGCAAAGATGATGGTCAAAGAGCAACAAAATTTTACTGAGTATTTAATTTCTTAATTTTACGGAGCACCTGGTTGTGAAATACAGTTGCAACAATGAATCATGTAAAGTATCAAAGATCAGAAACTTACCGTTACACGTTAATGGATTGTTACTTTGAATTGAAGGTTATGGCTAATGGACATTGTTGATAGGTTTGTATAATTAGCAGTGTTATAATTTGTACCTTGGTGAACTTGGAGAGGTAGGTCCATGTAATTTTGTTTAACCAAATTTAAAATGATTTCACAAGATATCAAACGACCTGATTTTGGAAATCAAACAGTTCCTTAAGATATCAAATGGGAAAAGATCGAAACTCAAAAATGCATTCCAGAAATCATAGACAACAAACTTGGAAACATGTTCATTAGTAATAAAAATCGAGAAATTTTGGAAATCAAACTCGCGTGTCATTTGAGAAATCAAACACGACAAATTTTGGAAATCAAGTGTCATTTGAAAACTCAAATGCGACAAATTTTGAAAATCCAGAATCCATTGGAGAAATCAAATGTGACAAACTTTGGAAATCAAAATGACAATAAGAACCAAAAGCATTTTTCCTCTTGATCATATACAAGATATCAATATCAAAGAAAAGAATCTGACAGTAAATTTTATTTGTGATACTCCCTACCTATGTTGTTAACTTCCAGCATCAGACATACTGCTTTAACATTATTAAGCAGTGGTTCACACTATAATCTTGGGCTCACCTATATTTCCACACACAGTAGCTGTCAGTTAATGGAGCTCCATTAATTCCAAGCTGCTGTGTGATGGAATTAGTCATAGGATAGGCAAAGTACATAGGAGACTGTAGCAATTAAAGAAATACTCACAGAGGTATTTGATTCATAAAGCGCACTCTGACGGATCGTCTGGATGCTGTATGAACTCAGTGAATACACATTACCAGTGAACTTGACTTAATGATGTTAAAATCAAGTTGCAAGTATAAAAATAATACTCACTTCTTACTAACACGAGCCTGGTAAAATGTAACTCTGTTTAAGATCAAATTTTTTCCTGTGTTCACATCTTGGTAAGGCTTCTTAATAAACGTTGCCATCCCTTTCGAGGTGTTACAGAAGTTCCACAACCTCCTAAAGGGCAAGTCAACCTGGACTGTGTGTTGTCGTACTCTCATTTGATCTTCAAGAGTAACTCTTCCCTCCACGACGGCAATCTTGCGTACCCTGCGAGCAGAGGCCCTTCAATCTTTCTCTGCTACAGGGTATTAGTTGCGATGCGAATAGGACAACGACAGTTTGTACCACAGTTGAACATATGAATTTTTTTTATTAAAGTCAATAACTTACACTTGTGGGAATTATGAAACACTCCGAGCGTAATATAAAAAATGAACCAATCACGATGACAAATATTCTTACATTCAGATAACTCGCAAAGGTTTCAATACGATTTTGTAATTCATTTTAATATTTCATGAAATTCTAAAACAACAGCGGTGCTGATAGGCTGTTTCTTCATTGAACAATCATCGTACATATGATGAGATGAGTTGCAAACAAATAACCGAAAGGCCAAAACTTGTTTATTCACAGGTCCGGTAGACGTACAGCACATGCTGTTCACTTTTACAAAATTACTAAGATAGTACACACTCTGATTGGCTGAGAGGAGTGTTTGCATGAGCGTATGTAAACATGGTTGTGGCGTCAAGTTGTTTGGCTTTTTGCGCGCTAATCACGCAAGCGCGAATTTCAAGAAGTTTTCAGGTTCAAATCTCGACAAGTTTACTTCATTTACCCATTCCTTAGTCGGCTGAAACATGGAAAATCGTTACAAAGAAGGTGAGTCAATTTTTCTGCGCTTAAGGTGACATTTTAAGCGACAAAAATCCATATTTTGCAAAGCGTCTTTTTGCAAAACAAGAACTGCTTACGCGTGCAAGACTTCGTGGACAAGATTTTGCGACTGGTAAGAATTTATCTTGTAATCAGTGCCTAACAAAGAGTTTTGCGTTTTTTTCTCGGGATAGTTGTTTTATAAAAGCAATAGAAAACTTTTTCCTATGTTTGCATAGCCTGATATAAACACTCTCGGGTTTGCATAACTGTCTCGAGTTCTCCCAACCCCTCTCGTGTTTATACCAGGCTATGCAAACATGGCAAACGTTTTCTATTGCTTAAATGTAACTTACAATCCTGATTCCCGAGATAACAATCTGTGTGACAAAAGAATACTGGCTATAACTAATCTTGAAGCCTAGAATAAAAAAAATAAAGTGAAAAAATGTTCTGTACAATACTTCTTGAACTGTTCTTACCGTTTGGGCTGTTTAAAAAGACAGCAAACATCCGATGAACTACGATTTCTGCACAGACCTTACATGAGAGCCAAACAAAATGGCGGGTTGCTCCTAAGAGAAAAACAGGCACGTCAGCCAAGCACTTGGTTAAGCATGCCACTGATTGCACAGTGCAGCAGTCACAGATTGATTGAACCATTGAACCATTGAACAAAAAATCTCAAATCGCTCAAGAATATGGTCTGCGGCCGGCTGATGCCCAACAGTAATTAAAAAGAGTCTTTACAGAAGGCCTATAGAAAACATCTCTTGAAGACATTTTTAGGAAATGTCTTACCGGACATGGAACTGACATGGATATTCTGCTTTGTAATACCAGACTGCTGATCTGACTTTTTTTACCGAGATACGGTCGCCATGAAATGACTCTGGGCCATAGTTTTTCAGGGCAGCATTGGCCTCTGCTAAGGAATCCATCTTGTGTGCAAGATGACCAATGGATCCCAACAACTGTTCAGTGTTGCGCATCCCCATGTGGAGAGCCCAAAGTTGAATGTTGCAAAGCTCTTCATCCAAAAGGAAAAACTAGGTCATCTCGTAGACCAGTTGATCTACAAGGCATTTTCAAAGAATGATTGATTTTCTGAAGCAATGAATTATTTCATGTTTTTCTCTGAATATGTTTTTGTTTTTGTTTCTTCATTACCAAACTATGATTATTACTTTCCTGACAGTATAAAGACAGTTTCTGGCAATCTTCCAAGTTTGGCCAAAACTCCTGAATGAGGATTTTAGTTTACTGGTAAGACTTAAAAGAGCCCAAACCATTCACTTTATTTCAGTTCATGCTTTAGTATAAGTCTCTTCACCATGAGCTACAAAATTCATTTTGTTATGAAAAGGTAAGAAAATCCCCTTTGTGTTTTTGAATGTAATGAAGTATGACAACGATCAAAATGTCTACACACCTTCCTATATTGCATTTACTTCTGAGGCAATCTAGACCTGTCTCATCTGGAGCAACATCATGACGTTTGCAACCCTGACAAAAAAGTACTCTAATCAAACTGAATAACAGCACAATGTTGAAATAAGTTAGAAAAATCTACAATTTCAGATAGAATTACAATTTATAAACAGGCATTTATCATGCTTCTGATTATCCTCTTCAGAGTTCATACAGAATTTTGGACCCAAAATTCAAGACTTTTTCCAATACATGAATGTATTTCTCCAGACTCAAGGTTATCAAATAGTTGACCAATAGAGACTTTTGAAAAAACGCAGGAACCAAGCTTTTTTCAGGGTGCACTGCAAACGTACTGTAATCATCGTGCAATGGGGACAAAAAAAAATTATGAAACTTCTCATTCTGTGATTAAATGTCTTAGCCACCGTCGAGATTGAATTGACCACAGGGAAAAAATTCACTGATCAAGCACTTTTTGTAGCTATAAAAAACTCCAGACTTTGAATTATTTTTCTAGACTTTATCTCCATTTTCAAGACTTTTTCCAGGTGTTAGAAATCAAGACTTTTTGACACGAATTCATGACTCCGCATGAACCCTATTCTTTTCACAGTACATGTATGCACGATTTCAGTGATTTTTAAACGATTTAAGGCAGAATGACCTTTAAATAAGTACTGTACAATGTTGAAAGGCGTTTACTGAATTAAAGCTGCTTGATGTTTTCATCACTCGCTGACTTTTAAGACTTTGGCTATGTTTTGCGAACATTTAAATAGACACTCGCTGACTATTTTCCCTAATATTAGTAAAGATCAAAGTCATCTGAAATCAGTGCAAAAAAGTTGATTAACTGATGCAGCACTTTTATGCACCTCGACTTTAACAGCACAAGTTGTAGTTGCCCTGTACTAATTCCTATATTATTTGAGTACTTTACCCTGATGGCATTGCAGATGAAACAGAACTTGACACTGACACCTCCACCACCTTACATGAAGCAGCATTCATCTTCTTCACCAAAAGAAAAATCAAGGTCTTGTTGTCCAATACAACTAAGTTTGATAACAGAAGTGGGAAAGCAAAACTTAACATACTAAACTTACAGGAAAATAAATCTCCAATGCTTGTAAATAAAAAGGTGCTCAAATCAATTATGGATGTACAATGATAATAAATTCTTGGTATGGATAATTATAAAAGGGAATGAAATTTTTATAAGCAAAATAATAATAATCATTAAAACAAAACTGCATAGACAGCATGCATTAGTACATGATTTTACATCAAAATGGTCTCCCATCAAGCTTCATCATCAGTCACAATGCCAGTGAAGAGAGTTGGTGCAGCCTTTGTAACCTTACAATCAACCCCACAACAGAGGTCAAATTCACAGAGAAACCTTGTATAGGAGGAGGCACCTTCTTAACCCCCATATATTCCTTGCAAAGCCCAATAACCATCTTCTTAGCTGCCTTTATCTGGTTCAAGTTGATGGGAACAGGTATGTGAAAGGATTTCTAAGAAAATAACAGAAAGCAAGTGATCGAAAGCAAAGGTTAACCTTTTTAATCTAGGTTGATTCTTTGTTTCCTGTCTCCTACTAGCCCTAGGAAACAAATGATATGGAGAATCAACCTCTGTAGTAACCAAGGGACTCTGTGGCCGTTTTATGAGAAACTGTATCACATTGTCAGTTATATGTTTTTCAAATGTGACGAAATGAGTTAAGGTACGGCTTTTACCACTAAGACCCTGCCTATATATATTTTTTGAATTACTGATAAATACAGCTCCACCAGTTCGAACAGCATCTAGTGGCAGAATTTCATGGGAAAAGAATTTAAAGGTAACATTTTACACTTGGTGTTATGGCACATTAATGGGTAGGGTGATGATCTTATATGTTAATGGTCCGGAGTTTGCCGCTTAGAGCTGGCTGCTAACTTATTTCACCAACTGAAAAAGAGCTTACCACTGGCTTAAACTGCTCTTGAAAAAAAAGACATGGGGGAATTTTGAAGATGAAGTTGAGGAAAAAAGCTGGCTTGACTAATGAGAAAAGCCTGCTTATCTTTTCCTTAGCTACATCCCTCACCGTTCAACTCATGCTGGATGAAATGTTTTTTTGTCGTTTTGATTTTGCTTTCTTTTTTTAACATATTTTTTATAATGCTTCCCCTAATCACAGCCTTGGGACGTGTGCAAGAAACATACTTCTAGTATAATCATAAGACTGTCCAAAATGGGCTCACATATGTTATATCCAAAAAGTTGCAGGTTAAGAGAATTACATTACATTCTAGCCAGGAATACTTGACACTCATTAGCACTTCTCATAACCAGTTGTGGGACCGCCATCTGTTTATACAAATTGAAAAAAGTAATCCTCATTACAGTTCACCAACTCTTGTTAAGCGAGAAAAAATCCTAATGTTTAATAACCAAATTTCCTGGCACTTTTGATAAACATTCATACTAGGCTTCACTTTGGGGAATAAAGCAAAAGAAATAAGGGGCTTCAACAATGGGGCTTGCAGTTGTATCGTTGCACCATCACCTGGAAGAGGACAAGCTTCCAATCAGGAACTCTCAGGCACACCACATACTTTGACATTGTATCATTGCTAACTAGCTCTTCCACACTCCTCTTTACTACTCGTTAATTTCATTGACGATGCCCTTCGTTTCTGGGTCGCCAAATGTACATGTTTGAAAGCACCATTGCCAAACTTTCCCCGTTTCTTTCGCACACGTTATGCACGTTCTTGATGACGCGACTGCTTCACTGCTTCATCAACAGCACCTTTTCTGAAGTATCCAAATCTTCCTTTTCACTGATCTCCTTTAGATTTGGGGAAACATTCTTGTTTTTAGCTCTTTTCAAGTTTCCACTGTAAGGGGAAGTCATTGCCACAGATGAAGACGCCTTGTTCCTTGGTGTCATTGGCATTTCCAAGTGCTGTGAAGCACGTGGTTGTTCTTTGTTTGCTTGGCTTTCGTTTTGCTCGTCAACAGAAATGTCACTGAGATCTACAGTGTTCAGCAAATCTCTCAGCTGCAAAATGAACTCAGAACTTTTCAAAGAAGAATGGGGAAGCAGAGTGGTTATGAACCCAAATGAGGAACAGACAATTTCCATTGCATTTGAAGACTGCTTGTTTAAGCAATGGTGGCGATCTTGCAGCTGAATGTAGGCACTGTCGATTCTTTGAAAATCATCTGGAAAACTGGCAACAACAGGCAAATGCTTAATATATTGTGTCAGCGTTGATCCACAAACTCTCAAACTAGGAATGTATGAGCTCAATTGTGGACTTAATTCAGGGCTGATGATCTGAGTGAAGGGCGAGCAACCCTTCTTTGGTGCCATCTCTACTGCTACTGACTCATGCGCTTGAAATACGAAACTGCAGAGAAAAGATAGCTGGGCAAAAAACATGACATCTGAACAGTGACATAGTAAGATTATCCAGACGCTAAATTGAGAGTGTTGATGCCTTGAGCCAGTTGATCCATGACATTTAATATGGGATTAACTACTGGATTATGACACCCAAAAGAGACAAGCCTAGTGTACGTAATACTTACAGTGCAAATCACTTGTGTCTTCTCATGCACCCAAATTCTTTCACATCAAAGAAAAACTTCCATCTTCTATTATTTGTCGGGTCAAGGTACTTCTTGATCCAGGATGCCTTTAGAGACTTATTGAACGTATGTATATCAATCGTCCTCAAACCACCCTGCTCATAATCCTTTATAATATGCTCTCTTTTAATCTTGTCACCTTTACCGTCCCAAAGGAACTCAAAAAAGAAGTTTGTTGACCGTTTGCAGGGCGTTTGTATAAGTAGGGAGAAGAGTCAAAATATAAATGAGTTGGGAGGCCCGAAGACTTTTGATAAGAGTGATTTTTTCCCAATAATGTGAGTCTCCTAAATTGCCATGTTTCATAACGTTTTTTATTTTCCCAATCCTCTCATCATAGTTAGAACGGAGCATTTCGTTTCTGTCCGTTGCGAACCACACACCTAATGCAAAGACTTTCCCCTCCACCCAGGAGATATCAGGCCTGTTGCACTCTGTAGGGCCTCTGTTTTTTGCCGAACCCACCCAGAGCACTTTGGTGTTCTCATAATTTACCTTAAGGCGAGAAGTCACTTGAAACCCATCTAGAACCTCGGTTGCTCTACAAAAAGAGCCCTCTGAGCCATCGAGTATCAACATCGTGTCATCAGCAAATTGGCTTAGCTTGTGTTTGACTTCACCCGTCATAAAACCTTTTACGTCTTTATCTCTCCTAATGAAGTTGGCTAATATCTCGGCCGATATTATAAATAGATATGGCGACATCAGGCAACCTTGCCTGACCCCTCTACCTAAAGAAAAGCTCTCCGAGACCCATCCATTGTTCTGGATAGCACTGGAGACCTGATTATAAAATAATCTGAACCAGTTTACTAGAGAGGGCCCAAAATTGAAATAGTTAAGGGCTCTTTCTATAAAAGCCAACTCTGTCGAGTCAAATGCCTTCTCAAAGTCAATGAACATCAATAAACCCGGTTTATTCATATTACCTGCGTAATTTATAATACTGTCAATTAGAAAAACATTTTCTGCAATAGAGCGTCCCTTCAAGAAGTCACTTTGATGACCATTGATAATTTTAGGAAGAACCCGCTTTATTTGATTACCTATCGCTTTAGACGAGATTTTATAATCGTAGTTTAGAAGAGAAATTGGCCTCCAATTTTTTAGAAAAAGAGGGTTTTTGTCCTTCTTTTGTAAAAGAGAAATAATACCTTGTCACTGCGTCACCGATAGTAGCTCCTTTTGCAAAGAGCAGTTAATAGCATTCACTAAAAAGGGGGCAATGTCACTCCATACTACCTTATAAAATTCTGCTGCCAGATATCACCTAGGTCAAGGTTAATTTGAATTTGTTCTACTTCGGTGAGCGCTTTCGGGTGCGAGGTGCCGAGAATGCCACCTTCCTTGTCCAATTTAGCATTTTTAATCAAGTGAAAATCTCCACCCAAGATGATGTTATCGCAATCAAATTCGAATATTCGGTTTTTAACATCTTGGATGAAATGGGGGTCATCCTTATTTGGAGTGTAAAGATTAACAAGCGTAAAACATAAGTCTACCGTCTTAATGTCTAAAATGATAAAACGACCATCTGGTTCTGCATAATCCTTGTTTAAAATGAAATCGAAATTACTTTTAAACGGAATGGCCACACCCGCTCTTCGACTATTTTCACAACTAAAAAAAGCTTTATAACCCCATTCATTTTGCCATAAATCACAGGTTTCCTTTGTACAGTGCACCTCTTGTAAAAAAAAACATGGAAGTTTTTCTCCCTGAGCCAATTAAACATTTCTCTTCGTTTAGCTTGCCCTGATAAGCCTCTAACATTCAATGAACATATTTAAGAATTATAATGGTGAAAGCCAATTATTATTATTCTGCATTGAAAAACCATCCACCGTAACAAATATCTATAAAGCCAAGCAAGGATGTAACTAACGAAAACTATACAGACGGCACACACGATAAAAGAAAAAAAAAGAAAAAACCTATTGCTGCGACTTCTACAAACGGACATTATACTACTACAGGGAGAGCATAAACAATACACTACTAGCATACACAGGCTCTTTCACTAGGAATGGAAAGTTATGAGCTGGTGCGAACTAAGACCTTTAGGTAGTGCTCCTAATTGATTGTACAATCCGGACGACTATTTGGTCGGAGCTCCGCCATAAACACATTTTTGAAGATGCAAAGCGATTACTCCTACTTTCTAGTTCTCTTAGTAACTACCATTACCCTTGAGCTTTAAATCATAAAACTTCAGCAAGTTAATTTTACAAATTGCAGCCATCAAAGACAAAAGAAAAGGCATAGACCTATTGTAAAAAGTGTGCACTAGGTGACAAGGCGCTACAAAATACAATGAAAATTACCACAGAAAAAATTTCCATATTAGCTTACCTGAATATTGGAAGAAAGAAGGAAAAACAGTAATAAATTAATTTCGAGGAACGTAGTTACCGTCAATGAATAATTTGTCTGGATACTTTCTGCTGAAATAGGCTGTGCTGCCATTATGTTTTGTGTTTTGAAGCTTCTTCATTTGGGCCCTTCTTAGCTGATAAAGTTCCTTCGGCATGTCCTCAAAAACACCATAATCTTTCCCTTTAAGTGAAGTCTTTGCACGTAGTAGGACTTCTTCCCGATCGGAATATCGGAGAAATCTTGCAGTAATAGGACGGGGCTTCTTACCTGATCTTTTCCACACTCAATGAATCTGCTGAAATTCGAATCTATTTACGGCATTCTCCAAGCTAAGCTCTTTCTGCAGAAAATTATAAATCACCTGTTTAGTCTGTCTCGCTTTTGGCGTCGATCGATGCATCATTTTCCTGGATTCCAAGAAACATAAGATTCTCCCTTCTACTGTAATGTTCCTGGTATACGAGTTGCATCTTAAGCTCTTCGGCTTCATGCTGGACTTTTTTAAGATCCTTTTGCATATCACTTATGTCCACCT